CTAATATACATACTTCTGTTACGTACTTTAAGTTACAAAACAAAGCCATTTTGAAACATAGCTGTGCTGTTAAGTAAAAGTCTTTTACTGCAAGGCATTCTCATAATTGTTAGCTTAACATTACGTTAGCCTGAACCTTAAAAGCACTGTAAACCCATAACCTTACATTGTGACCTGGCCCCCATTTGGAATTTTTTTCCCCTTGTGGAAATGTTTTACAACTATAACTGCACTTAAACAGTATATCATTAAATTCTTCACTTGCTTAATTAAGTCAATATTATTAAATATTGAAATATAACTGCATCCTACAGTCTGGAGTTTAGAAGAATGAGAGGTGACCTCTTGAGAGTAAAGAGTTTTGAGCAAGTTTAATGGAGTAGAATGCTGACAGGCTGTTTTCCCTCGCTGAAGAATTTAGAGCTAAGGCAATAGTCTCAGGATAAAGAGTTGTCCATTTAGGACTGAGACAAGGAACTATTTTGTTGCGCACATTTGTGAATCATTTGAATAATCTACCCCAGGGGGCTCTGGATACTCAGGCATTGAATGTAATCAAGGCTGAGGTCCATAGACTTCTGAATGCCAAGAGAATCATGGGATATGGAATTGGACTGGATAATTTATGGATTAGAGGGTTAGCCATAATTTCACTAAATCCTGGGGCAGTCTTAAATGCTAAAGGCCTGTTCCTGCTCTTATTTCTTAATGACATTTAGTTATTATGATGGAAATACTATATAATATGATAAAAATAGTTTAATGTGCGGGGAGTATGATAACTATCCAGGGAATTTGTAGAAAAAAGCTCCGAAGGATTGGATGACCTCTTCCAACTTATATTACTAATATCATTGGGTGCAATCCATAATGATTTCAAGGGCACTCAGTTAGCAGAACATAACAGCAATTGTGATATATATTTGATTTGTTTTCATACTCTAAAATAAATTTGCTCGTGGGACTGTGCCCAATAGTTATTTTATTTCTCTGTGCTTCATTCATATGTAAAATGTTTGACGTTTTAAATTTTGGGAGTCTACTTTCTTTTAGTGAACAATAATAAAGTATAAGACAAGAATGGTTAAGGAACAAATATTCTATTTGTTTACTACAAGATTCTCAATTTACTACTTAGCTATTTTGAGATAATTTCCATTTTTAAAACTGGGCTGAAGGGCCTGTTTCTGTGCTGTACAACTGTATTCATTTGTGGGACATGGGTGTTGCTGGCTGGCCAGCATTTATTGGCAGTCCCTAGTGCTCTTTAGAAGGTGATGGTGAGCTGCCTTCTTGAACTACTGCAGTCCATGTGTTGTAGGTCGACATACAATGCCATTAGGGTCAGAATTCAGAATAATAAGGTTTCCATAATTTGTATATGGTACTTTTACAACACAAGTTTTTATATTTTAGGTAATAGAACTTGTTCAGAAATATGGCCCAAAACGCTGGTCTGTTATCGCAAAGCACTTAAAAGGCAGAATAGGAAAACAATGCCGGGAGCGATGGCACAATCATCTGAATCCTGAAGTTAAAAAAACTTCCTGGACTGAAGAAGAAGACAGAATTATATATCAAGCACATAAAAGACTTGGAAATAGATGGGCAGAAATTGCAAAGCTTCTTCCTGGAAGGTAAGCTGCGTCAGAGAAGTAAATATTGGAGCCTCAGAAAATAGGAGCTTAAAATCTTGTGAATCCATGACAAAGTGGTCCTGTACTAAATTACAGACTTAGACCCATGATCCTTTACTATATAATTGAGGCTCTTTAGAACACATTGCAATCTCTAATGAGATAACTTAGTCACAACAACATATAACCAATGGAGGAATTGTCAGAATGGGTAGGGGACAGAATATGGAGTGGGCTGTCCAAAGGACTAGTATTGTTCTGAATAAGAATCATATTGGTCTTGAAACTTTTAACTGTTTCTCTATTCATAGATCCTGCCTCACCTTGCACGGTTTCTCTAGCATTTTCATTTCAGACCTCCAATATTTGGCTTTTATTGTAGCATTGGGATGACTTCTGTTTTGTTTACACTCATGATGCAGATTCAGGAATGATGCAAATTTATAGATGGTACCAAATTAGGGCATATTAAAATAGAGAGGAAACTCAGAAATTATATGGAGTTGGTTAAAGTATTTAAGACGGCAGGACAATGTCAGGAAAAAAGTGTGTCTGTGTAATATTGCCTATAGAAGAAAATTTGGCTGTGTAAATACATTGACTTTGAAATAGCTAACAACAAAGTTAAGAAGCCTTAATCTTAATAAATTCAGTGCTTAAAATGTCCGAACAAGACAAAATGGCATTCAGTGAAACACATGAAATGTTAAGTTGTATTATCAAAACAAAGAATAGATACATTGTAGGATATGCCATGATCAAATTATGCAGTACAGTGGTTAAATCATACCTTGCATACTACAGTCACTGGAGTGCAAAAAGGACAGATGAGTGCTTAAGTCTGAACAGAGAAGATCTGTGAAGCTAAATATTATTTTAAATATCTGAGATACAAAAAGACAACAGTCAAGGCAAGAGAGCATTAATTGTGATGAAGGAACTTTGGGATCTTTTTGGATGCATTAACTAAGGTGGACTGAATGACTTGGAGCACATGGGACAGTTTTAACCCTCAGATGGGTAGATTTGGGTTGGAGTGATGCTAAAATGTTAAATCTGTGTGCCGAATACAAAAGTGAGCAGGATCCCCAACATGCTTGCCTTCTTGAATCAGCAGTGAACGCATTGGTTTTGTCATGTGCGGCAAATACATGATGGCCACATTCGCAAAGACATGCTCTATGGCAAGCCTGTTGTCAGCGGGAGACCAGCAGGTGCCAATGTCAGCAAGCAAGACATTAAGTTGACATGGATTGGAGTTGAAGTCTGGGAAGTCCTTGTTACTGAATAGCTGAAGATGAAAACAGGACAAAATAAATGACCAAATGATAGAATGAGAATCCAGGAGAAGGAGAAAACATTAGTTGGCCTCAGGTCAACACTGTATTTAACTGTGGAAGAGATTGGTCTCTTGAGTTGGCCTCTACGGTCAAAACAGATGATCTACTATCCAGAAATGATATACCACCCACAGTTTCTCATCTTCTGAGACAGACAGATACCTGCTACTATTATAAATCTCAAAACTGACACAACCACTTTTGATTTTAACATGAGGAGTGGTAACTATTCTGCTCCAAGAGACACATTGTTCATTTAACTCTTTAAATGAGACTACGTTTCACATTTTGCCCATTTTTTCTTGTTTAACCAATGTTTCAGGTTTTCCAGGCCTTTTATGATTTTTTTTTAATCTGGGCTCATTTCTATGCATCTCCATTGCCATTGTCTGATCCACAAGATCTGCCTGTATTTTTTCATAAATTGCTTATCTAAAATCTGTATAGTAACTTGATTTCTCTGGCTTTATTATTTGCCCATAGCCTATTGATTTATAAACATTTTTACATTGTGTTGAATTTTGGCTAATTGCCAATGTAATTGACTCTCATGGAAGAATTCTCTCTTTGAGGCCCAGCAAGATTTCTTTCAGTATAGTCCCAAACTCACCTCATTATTACCTACTCCATCATATGATGATGCTTTTGTCTGATGTTAGCCCAATTCCACCACTCACCATACCCAAAAGAGCTCTCCAATGCTAGGAAATACCAGAATAGACGATCATCCCTGGAGCCAGCACCATGTTTAAATTTCATTGAGAATCTCATAGAATCCCTACAGTGTGGAAACAGGCCCTTCGGCCCAACAAGTCCACACTGAGCCTCAGAGCATCCCATCCCCCTATAACCCACCTAACCTACACCTCCCTGAACACTATGGGCAATTTAGCATGGCCAATCCACCTAACCTGCACATCTTTGGACTGTGGGAGGAAACCAGAGCACCTGGAGGAAACCCACACAGATATGGGAAGAATGTGCAAACTCCACACAGACAGTCGCCCAAAGGTGGAATTGAACCCGGGTCCCTGGTGCTGTGAGGCTGCAGTGCTAACCACTGAGCCACCATGCCGCCCCATCTAGACAAACACAGTTAGTATGGAAATACCCTACACTGTGACTGACGTTTGCCCTGGACGTGACTGAGAAGGGGAAATTTATGGCCTCATTTTGTGGACAGGAACCTGAAGCTCCTGGTGGTTGGGCTCATGCAGACGTGGTTGTCCTTTGTCCCCCAGGCAGTGCAGGCCATGACACCAGACCCTGCTAGCCTGGGCCAGTGCGTTCTCAGCTGCCTAGAGGAATGCCCTGCGGTGTAGGAAAAAGTTCAAGTACTGCCTCCATTCTGCCAGCGTAAGTGCCACCATCTTGGCTCACATTCACTATATCTCTGCTACTGGATACACCACCCATAAAGGCTCATGCTCTGTCACTCCTCACTATTGCATGCAACATCTTGCCTCATGCACTCTCCCTGACCCCCCAACAACTGTCACCACCAATCCTGCATGCCGTCTGAGTTGCCTACCCATTCAATGGACAACACATCACTTTTCCTTCCCACAATTACACTAACAAATGTGCCATGAATTTCATCTCACTGTAACATTGTTTCCAAGATGGCAGCTGGATGACAAAGCAGTGAGCTGAAGTTACCGGGTACCCATTAACTCTGACTCTTGTGAGGAGTGGTCAATGTCTAGTTTTCTTGCAACAGGCTGTAGGATAGGATCTTAATGACTTAAGATTTGCACTTAAGACTGACGCAAAGTAATAATCCACATTGTGATGCCTGAAACTTTGGGAGCAACTTGTTGCACTTACAATGATGAGAACGGCTTTGTTTGACTTCTTACAATTCTCCTAGATTTGCCATACCCCACATCATTTAGGCTCCCATACGATTCTGCCTCATATCGCTATGAGATTCACAATGGTATCAAGAACTGTTGCAATTCCTCAGATTATCTAAAATATGTATAATAACCAAACGTTTTTTTCCGTTTTTATTTTTAATTGTCCGTAAATTGTTAATTTATGTACATTTTTGTGTTATCTCTGTGTAGGACTGATAACGCTATCAAGAACCACTGGAATTCGACAATGCGTCGTAAAGTAGAGCAAGAGGGCTATCTGCAGGAGTCTTCGAAAATTAGTCAGCCAACAGTGACCACAAGTTTTCAAAAAAATAATCACATCATGGGTTTTGCCCATACTCCTCCATCTGCCCAATTGCCAACTTCCCAACCCCAAGTAAATGGTGACTATGCATATTTTCACATTCCTGATCCACAAGAGGTAAGGAGTTAGAATTTATTTTTGTTATGCTTTTTATTCCTTTCTAATTGATGGCTTTTGCACACAAATTCAAATTGTGCTGTAGAATGCATATCCATCTTTTAATTTTGAAAGATTAATGGAACTTTTATCTGGAATTAATGGTAACTTTTATCTGGAATGTGTATTCAAATAGCAGTTCACTAAAGTTTCATTTTCAGATATTTTTTAAAAATGCTAAATATCCTTGATGGAATACAAAATTAATTTTTATAGCTGCTTATCAGTGCAAAATGCTTCTGTTTATATATTTATCATTGTGAACTATTTTTTCAAGTTATTGAGGATTGCTGCCAAATTTATATTATAATTCACATAAACTTTAAGTAGACAAATACGGACAGTTCTTGCAGTGTTGATTTTTAACATTTTTGCCACTTCTCTCAGATTTCCAATCAGATGCCCTACCCAGTGGCTCTACATATGAACATGGCCAATATTCCCCTACCAGGCACTGCAGCTATTCAGGTAGGTTTCATTTGTTTTCTTCCTTGTCACTTTTATATGATCGTCAAAGACACTGTTCTCTAAGGTTAGTTTTGAATTCAATGATTGCATTTTACAGAAAATACTGTATGTCAACAAATGTTGGCTTTTTTTTTGAAGAAATATATCCTGTCTGTATTAGCTGCTAGTCATTACTATTTATCCACAAAAAAAGTTTGATTAAATGTTGGTTTTGATCTTCATGGTTGCCTTGGCCTCACCTATGCTAGCTGAAGTTTTGGAAGTCTTAAATCAGTATAATATTATATTTAAAATCATACCCTTTGATCTCTTCTTTCTTTTCCCTCAACTCTTAATTTCAGAGGCACTATAATGATGAAGATCCTGAAAAAGAGAAAAGAATAAAGGAATTAGAGTTGCTACTAATGTCGACTGAAAATGAACTGAGAGGGCAGCAGGCATTACCAGTAAGAATGTCACTGTGTGGCTTGGATAAAGGGCTAGCAGCTTCACCCCAGTGCTCTTCTCTTTTCATCTCTACCTTTTCAAAGGCTCTATATTAATTTCAACTTTGTCATTCCCAACAGTAAATTTTAAAACCAAAATCTCTACCAGACAATTGTTGGTGGATTCATTTTCTTTAAATACTTCTACATCATTTCCAAGAATCTTAAATGTAATGACACCGATTTACTGAAGTAATCTCACAGAATCATACCCCAAAATTTTTAACCTGTCAAGAAAAATAATCTAGAGCCCAGTAAATCTGACTGTCGCTTTCTCTAGCTTTGTTCATCTTTGCATTGCATTTCATTGTTTGCCTACATTAATTTTTAAAGTGCATGGTTGACTGTTTAATCCAATGTTCTTTTTAAACTATGCATTATTTTCTTGGCTGGTTACATTAACCCATTTTGTTTAAATTATTAGCAGATAGTGATGCATGACAAAAACTCTTGGCTGGCTTTTTAATCAATTCCACAACTTATGAACAGTATTTCAGTTGTAAAAGCAGCAGTGCTGGTTTTGGTTTTACTGTGCATGGTAAAAGCCAGACAAACATGAGTGAAAATAAATGGCCAGCATACTCTGGGTTTTTGAAGCAAAGTTTTGGTACAGTGGGTCTGCATGAAAATAACCTGCATGAGAACTTGTGTAACTGTACTAATGGTTTTTAAATTTAGAAACTATATAAACTTGATTTTATTTTTTAAAGTTTATCATTTCTTCCACCATCTGACTACATATTAAGCTTATCTCTAATTTCTTCTCTATTTTCTGATAATTTTGATTTGCGCACCTCTGTGTTGCGTTGGTGTGAGCTGCAGCATCAAAAAATTTAGCTGCAGTAATTCACTGCTACAAAAGCAACTCTAACCCAACATTCTAAAATGGCCTGCAGTCGAATTTTAATTAGTAAAGGAGAAAAGCCACATAGAGCACACGGCTCCATAAATTTTATTATGTTGTCTTAAAATTCTCCTTGATTAGACAGAAGCTCATTAAGCAGTTGTTTTAATTGTAAATGAAGATGTTTCGTTATAGTAACAATGCTTACTCTACTGTAATATCTGAGATTTTTTGTTGAGGGAAGACAAAAGTTAAGAGTATGTCTAACAAATATGAATTAAACTGTAGGGCATAGTTTTTTGAATACAGAAAAGAGCTCTTTACTTAGTGTTCAAATGTCATTTACAAGAATGATGGAACTACTAAAATGCTTAAGCTGATATCAGATTTAATCTAATTGTACAATTGAATTGCTAACTTCCTTTACTTTCTCTCTTCCTTTTCTGCAGACTCAAGCAGCAGACTACTCAGGTTGGAATGGTACTGTCGTCATTGATAATGCAGGAGTTCACAACAGCAGCGTGGCCATTAGTTGCCTGGGAGAACATCGGCAGCCAGCACATCCACCTCACATGGAACATGGTTGCTTGCCAGAAGAAAGTGCATCACCAGCAAGATGCATGATTCATTCTAATGGAATACTCTCACCAATGAGAAGTGTTCCAAATTCTGAATACACAGAAACACTTCAACTCATAGATTCGGTAAGTAACTTAATCAGTTTTGCTGTCTTTGCTTAAAGTTAGATGCGCATGGGTCATATTCTTATGTAGGATTTATATTTCATTGGTTGCATTTTAGTTGGTTATTTAAAGTTAGGATTTGGAATTGTGGGTAATAGATTAGTCAGTATCACAAGTTTAAAAATCATTGTGATTAAATATTTTGATAATGCAGCAGATACTCGTTATTTGTTAATCTTTAGTGTTAAGCGTTAACAATGTATGATGTGAAGTTCAAGGTAGGTACGACAGTGAAACAATGTTCTGTGTGGATAAAGTTTATAGCTACAGCTTTCAATTTTCGTTGGATTGTAAACAGGCAGTAATAGATGGGCTGCATGTTATTATATCTCAACAGAGAGGAAAATTAGGTGGAATGTAGGGCATGCAGCTGATCTGTTATCATTAATTCTTGCAGCTCCAGGGAAGTTGAACAATGTATCCCATGAGTTTGTTATTTCATTATCCCGAATCAACTTAGACTGTCAACTGATAGAATAAGTTTAATTTGGGAATTAAGTCTTGGCAGGAACTGTAAAATGATTTGAGCAGAACAAGTTTATATATAAAGCATTACATGTAATTAGTTTGTATAGATCTTTCTGTCTGCAAATCTTGGAGGAAGTGAGAACTTTAAATGTGATTTTAAAGACTGGCTTAAGTATAAGTAGTTGAAAAAGGGGTATTCCCACCAAACGTTACCGTGCTTTTGAAAGCTATAGCATATAACATTTAGTTACACAGGTGGCACTGTTCACCGTTTATAGATTCGTACCTCCCAAATTGTTTCAGGATCCATCTACATGGGGTGATCTCAGCAGTTTCGACTTCCTCGAAGGGGAAGACAACACATCTAGGAAAAATGTTACAGCCAAAATCACACAGCTTCAGCACAAAGAGAGCAGCGTTTGCCAGTGTGAAGGACATATTAACACAAGCCTAAGCAAAAGCATGGTGTGTCAGGGCTCCCCTGCTTCGCTCAGCTCACCCTCTCCTTCAAAGTCCAGCACTCCACCAACTATCCTTCGCCGCAAAAAGAGAGGGCATCCTAACCACTCAGCTAGTGGTGATAGTAATTGCTCCACATTAGCTGACTTCAGCTGCTCAACTCCCAAGCGTACCCATGTCAAAGGCCTGCCCTTCTCTCCCTCACAGGTAGATGAACAGTAATCAACAGATATTACTAATACTGCAACAGACATGAAATGGTTAACAATTTAGAAACTAATTCTATGGAACAAATGACTAATCACTTTTGTACTCACTGATTTGACTATGTATTTTTAACCCACTCACTACTGTCCTTCTGACCACTCTTCTCAGATCAGCACAATGCTAATTAGCTATGCTTTCATTTTTGTGCACTTAAATGCCAACATTTTTCATTGAGTGTTCTATAGTATGATTGGCTTTTCTTTTACATTTTGTATTCAGTTTAGTCAAAAAGTTGTGTTTCCTGTAACCAAGACTTGGCCTCTTTTTCTGATTTCCCAGACACAAAGGATTCGTATATTGCAATTCAGCTCAACATTTTTGCATCTTGTTATATGTAACTTGTGTTCTTTTGGCTGAAGTACTCAAAGACTGCAATGTTAAATATTGTCATTTAGTTTATTAAAAAGTAATACATGACAAAAGCGTGCTGGATTGCTTAGTTTACCAGGATGGACTGCAGGGTCAGATTTTCTGTCTTCCCAAATATGATCAATAGTGTAAGAGGATCTAATTACATTGAACGTAATGTATTCCTCTTCTCTGGACCTTCATTAGAACCGAGTATATGTTTGATGCAGGTATGTCTGGTGAGAGCAGACGTATTGGCTGATCCATAGGCTGATGTGTGGAGGGAATCTAGATCATGGCTATATCTATGAAGATTTGGAAACAATTGTTTTTAATTTTTAATGTCTTTTTGCAAATTAAAAAAACTTCATAATACCCCAGAAAATTTTTGAAAGCCAAAAAGATTCCAGCAAACATTGTAAGCAAAAATATATTTGCTCTTATTGGTCTGTAGATTTTTATGCTTTTGTCCTCTGTGTTTTAATAAATGGATAACCTTTTTAGGAGTGTAATAGTTCCAAATGTTTATTGGTTTAAATTCTGAAGTTTTAAAACATTCTATTAGTTTCTGCCTGTTTCAAGCTTTTATTAAACTCCAGAAAGTCACATTATTATGTTACTGGAAACAGAACTTTTTTCCCTTAGGTGTTATTTTGTGTTGCATGATTGCACTTGCCAGTATTTTTAATTGGTTCAAATGCAAAAATGAAACTTCTTTCCATTTGAGGTTCACTTTTATTTACCCTGGCCTCTGTGGATGGTGCTTTACAATCGGTTTTTGTTACATTTAGCTCAATGGCTCTTTTTCCTTTCAGTTTTTAAATACATCCACAAATGATCACCTAGAAATGGAATCACCTGCATTAACTTCCACGCCAGTGTGCAATCAAAAGACCATTGTAACAACTCCACTACATCGTGACCAAACACCTAAGCCTCAAAAAGAAAATGATGCGTCAGTATGATTCTGCTTCTTGTAGATTTTGTTTCCTTTCTTGTGGTATTACCTAATTGATTTTAAAAAAGAGATTTGTCTCATTTCTGATAGCTTTTCAGCACCTTTTGAAATAATGACAGTCACTTGTTGAGGAAATTGTATTTTTGTTATCCTGAATAAGGATGAATGTCAAAAAGTTGTGTATGTCAGTAAATGTTTAAAGAAAAATGGCCAGTTGAACAAGAATTTGAAGTCAGTCAACATTTTGTAGTGGGCCAAAAGATTAACCGAATATACAAAGCATTTTAAAATAATAGGCATAAAATAATACACTGCTTCAATTTGTATTTGCCCTCCCTAATCTACTTACTGAGGCCAGTAGTTGGGTAATTATGCACTGCAATTGTAACTTCCCACCAGACAACTTTACTGTAATTATTACATATGCAGAAACTATAGAGTAACAAGTAGGCATTTCTTCTAAGTTGCATGTGAAGTATGTTTCACTTGATCCTGCTTTTATGCACCTTCCAGAAGTCATGTCAGTATTGTGTTGGGCAAGGATCAGAACATCTTTTGTGTTCATTCTGAAATGGCGTAGCCCTAGAGTTTAAAAGGGATGGTCTAGCTCAATTTAACTTAGTATCTTTGCTGTGCTTGTTTAATTAGTTTCAGAACTCCAAATATCAGACGTTCAATATTAGAAGGCTCACCTAGGACACCCACACCTTTTAAAAATGCACTTGTTGCTCAGGAGATTAAATGTGGACCTTTGAAAATGCTGGTAAGAGTATCTGGCTTGATTGATTGTCATTGTATTAATATAAATTTGAAACTGTTCAATAGAAAAATTTTGATAATTTCTCATTTCCTTGCAATTTAAGGCAACATCTCATCTTGCAGATGAGACTCAAGATGTAATTAAACAAGAGGCTAACGAAACTACAATTATAAGCAGTCTTCATGAAAATGGACAACCTCTTTTAAAGAAAATTAAGCAAGAAGTAAGTTATTTCCTTTCTCTGTGCCATGTATCAGTTGCAGCAAATCTTGAACTGGCAGGAAATCTACAATCTGAGAGTTTGGAGATTATATCTTATTGAGAGGCAACAGATTCTACCAATTTAAAAGTCTACCTCATACTTGCTTTTTCTTTCTTTTCCCAACCTTTCTTCTATCATTGGATGCAAAAATATAAACCTGGAAATTACAGTGAATATTGCTGTTGTTTAACATTGCTTCTATTAAGTTCCTTACTGTTATTGTAATGGAATCCTTAATCTGTTTATTTTAAGTGGGTTAGCAACTCTATTAAAGTAGTGGGACAAGGACAGAAATTTAAAACATTTTAAGTATTTGTACAAATCACTTATAACATTTTTGAGACTTTTTATTACCCTTTAGCCTTAATTTTTCAATAGAAAAAAGGCTCAATATTTTTTACTGGTATATGTAATCTTTGCACATCTTCTCTGCACTGTGCCCAATGTCTCTATGTTCTTTTCTAATATGGCAACTAAAACTGTATGTAGTACTTTTGATGTATTCTAACCAAGATTCAGTTCAGGTAAATTCTCTATTTTCCAATTGTTTCTCCCTCGAAATAATGTCTAATGCATAATTTACCTTTTTTATGATCTTGCTGACCTGCGACTTAGCTTTTAGTGATCGGTACACTGTACTCTGACATTTCTTGGCTTCTCTTTGATTCCTGGACTTGCACCGTCCGAGTAACAAGTGATCTGTCTATTCTTCCTGCCAAAATGTACTACCTTGTATTTACTCATGTTGTGAATTATTTGTCCATTCTAAACATTTATTCATGTCCACCTGTAATTTATTGTAGTCTTCAGTATTGACTATCCCACCCAATTTGATGTTATCTTCAAATGTAAAACATCTGGGTTAAATTTTCAACTTTGAAACAGGTAGTGGGAATTGGGAAAATTCCCAGCTTCCCACACATGCCTCAGGAATTTTCCTTTATTTAGACCCAATTCTCATTGTGGGAGGTTGGTGCGTGTTGCAGTCGAGGCAGCCGACCTTGGAAAGAATTCATGGAAAGTCATGGGGACTGTCAGGTGCTGAAGTTGGCTGCTTGAAAGGCCTGCCTCAGTGCTTGAGACTTTGTCTCAGTTGTAGTAAGAACGGTAAGGCTCTCCATTCCTCATCCCTCACATACACTCCCCATGCCCCATCCATTGCATCTTGTATCACTCCACTCACCGACGATGGCTCCTCATATGCTCCGTGTCCAATTATCCACTTCTCTGGCCCCTCACACCCTCCATGCCGAGCTATTCCCTCCACCAGCCCTCATAGTACCTATGACAAGCTGTGTCCTTCACCATCCCCATAGCTTTTCAAAACCTCAATACTAATCTGTGGCACTTCCATGCTTATTTACTCGTTTGTACAGAGCCAGTGACAAAAGCATAGGTTTAAAAAAAAAATTAAAGAAGCAATCATCATTCATAATTTTTCACTTCCTTAAGAAAACTCCTTTTACTACAGGTCAATAAAAGTGTCAGTCTTCCAGATCCTTTAAAATACCAAAAGCAGAAACAACAACTACATTATATAGTAGTTGAAACAGCAGACCTCGAAGCAAGTTATTACTTGATTGACAGCTCTCTGATCTAGTCTATCAATTACACAATGTTTATTTACATTGAGTCATACAGTCATACAGCACAGAAACAGACCCTTCAGCCCAACTCATCTGTGCCGACCAGACATCCTAATCTGACCTAGTCCCATTTGCCAGCATTTAGCCTATATCCCTCTAAACTCTTCCTATTCACGTACCCATCCAGATGCCTTTTAAATGTTATTGTATCTGCCTTCACCACTTGCTTTGGCAGCTTGTTCTATACACTCACCACCCTCTGCATGAAAAATTTGCCCCTCAGGCCCTGTTTAAACCTTTCCCCTCTCAGCTTAAACCTATGCCCTCTAGTTTTAGACTCTGCTACCCTTAGAAAAAGACCTTAGCTGTTCACTCTATCAATGTTCCTCATGATTTTAGAAACCTCTATAAGGTCAGCCCTCAGACTCTGACCCTCCAGGGAAAATAGCCCCAGCCTATTCAGCCTCTCCATATAACACCCTCTAGTCCCGGCAACATCCTTGTCAATCTTTTTTGAACTGTCTCAAGTTTAACAATATCTTCCCTATAGAATGGTGACCAGAATTGTACACAATACTCTAAAAATAGCCTCACCAATGTAAATAAGTTAGAGGTTTCAAGTGCTTGCAGTTTCTGCAGTTGGTTTAACTGATCTGGATGTTTTAACATTTCTGTTGGCCTGTAGCAAATAGAGTTTACATTTAGAAAGTGGAAATTTATGCATGAATGACTTTTCTTAAAGCTTTTTTTAAAAAACATATCCTATTGTCTGTTTAGGGTTCATTCATTCTGTAGAGTAGGTGAATGGGCATGGAACTACCGTTACTGGGCATGCAGTGTTTCCCAACTCCTTAAAAGTCTAGCCACTTTCTTATTCTAAATTTCAAATCATAAATGTGAGTTGTGAACAGCAGTGATCCCAGTACTGATCCTTGTGGAATTCTGCTTCCCACTTTATGCCTCTCAGACTCTGTACTCTTTGTTCCTGTTTGTCTTGAAGCCAACTAGCGATCCATTCTGTCACTTGTTTCCTCACTCCATATTCTCTGACCTTATTTATTGTGTTCTTATGGGTCACTTTAATAAAAGACTTGTGAAAATATAAATAAGCCATTTCCTGCATCACCATTGTATAATTTTTGTGGCTTGATAATTGCTTAATGTTTCTTTTGTAAATTAAGATTATATTCCTAACCATAAAGTCTTATAATTTACATATTAATTTCAGGTGGATTCTCCCGATAAGAAAATGAGAAAGTTCCTTACTTTGGCACCGTGGGAAAGGGAACACTTAAATACTCAGCTTTTCTCACAGGGTCCTTTGGAAGAAGTACCTGTATGTATGCTAAACCTTGTGACACTTGTTCTATTTTTCATCAATTTTCATTGAGGTAGAAATCCATATTGAAATGCAATGCAATGTCAGCCAAAGCAAAGTAAGAAAGGACGAATATTCAGTTTTAACTTCTCATGATGTTAAAAATAATTCAAAACTCCACATTAACTATGAAAGCATCATATTTTGATTCCTCAAGAAGAAGAATGGAAATTATTTGACTGTGGCTTATATAGAACTAACACCAATAGTTCTCATCTGGCCTTTAATACCCTATGTTCTCTCATTTCCTCATAGACTATTTGAATTTTATCAGACTGAAGATTTGAAAGGGCTGTTTTTAGTACTGGTAACTCCTTGGTGAACAAATTTTCTGAGGTCTGCAAAATCGAATGTGGCCTCCTGCTGCACAAGAATATCTCCTATCGTGAACAAACTGTCACTCCAGATCTAAAAATGCTGGATGGATCAGCCTCTGGGCTACCTGATCTTACGTTGGGGACCTGAAGCAGGATTATTGGTCTTATCAAGCAGCACTTCTAATTATATGTATAAAGCTTAGTCTTTGTACATTCTCTTACACTGTTTTGTGGGTGCCTTTGCCTTGTCTGGTGCTCATACACCATGCTATTCCCATGGCTGCAGGATGGTTGGTGGGAGATTCAGATAGCTTGGCACCCCTGGACTTTGAGCCCTTGATTTTTGTACTGTGATACCTTATGGGCAGCAGCAGTCTGACCAGGTAACAGCACAGCCACTAACTTGTATGGTGGTGTGGCACAAATGTTCTTCTCAAAGAAGATACATGTTTACTGCATCACAGAGCCACTGGTGCTCCCTTAGGGCAGTCTCTCAGAAATCTTAGTAATTTGCTGCTGCAAAGCCTACTGAACTGCTGAAAGATGCTGCTTTCCCCTTGAACACTAGTATCTGCAGCAGTCTGAGCCTGCCTGGCAAAAAGTTTGGGCATGCATGGCAGGAAGTGTGGAGTTCATTCTCAATCTGACCCTGTACTGCATACTTGAATATTGTTTGGCTTCTGTCAGTGCTTCATGGAAGTTGAGATATCAGTCACCAGATGTTATTCTCAGGGCTGGGTCTGTCAGCGCTGTTAAGGAATTGACCATCACTTTCACATTGGAAGCAATAGGCTACAACTTTTGTATATGCATGTCACAAAATAGAACAAAATTCTTCTGCCTCTTGACAATGACAGTGAGTTGGTGTCACTTCTGCTCATGCTTTAACTATTTAGGTGCATGCCTATTTTTCCGCGCACTGCCCATTCCATCTCTATGTCTTCGGCAGTGGTAATTTTTCCACATGTAGCGGAACTCATTTGTGACTTCCATTGAGCTAGCATATACACTATTCTTTTCTCCTGATCTATCTGCAGCTCAGTCATACCTGGTAACTCAACATGTGCCCCTTCTTTGTTATCCTCTAAAGTACATGGAAGACAAGTATCTAAATTGATAATTATGCATTTCAAATTAAGTGATTTTGTATCTTCATCAGATATATGCTGTTGTTCTCATCATTCAGTCTGAGGTTGGCCAAACTTTTTTTCTTTTAATTCATTCATGGGATGTGAGCATTGCTGGCTGAGCCAGCATTTATTGTCTATCCCACGTTACCCTTGAGAAATTGTGGTGAGCTGCCTTCTTGAATCGCTGCAGTCCATTTGGTGAAGGTAGACCCACAAAGCTATGGAGACGGAGTTTCATGATTTTGATCCAACCTCACTGAAGTAAAGGCCATACATTTCCAAATCAGAATGGTGGGTGGCTTGAAGGGGAATTTGCCGATGATGGCGTTCTGTGTATATTCTGCCCTTGTCCTTCTAGTTGGTAATAGTCATGGTTTTGAAAGCTGTGGTCTAAGCCTTGGTGAATTTCTGCAATGCATTCTGCAGACGGTACACACTGCTGCTACTGAGCATAGTAATGGATCTAGTGCCAGTCAGGTGGGATCTTTTGTCCTGGATGGTGTCAAGCTTTTTGTGTTAGTGGAGCTGCACTCATTCAGTTAAATATTGGATATCTGAAAGCATAAAGTTTGGAAAAGAAGGTTAGAGTGAGAGAAAGACCGTGTGTTGGAGACAAGATGTCTGTGGTCACACCATTTCCAACTTGTACTTGGTGCCAGATAAGAGGATGAGGGGAGGTGGAATTTCAGAAAGTGACTGGAGGCAGAAATATACTATCTTCCTTGATGTTCTCAGCAATATTGGTAGCTGTCATCTCAGTGCCTACTAAAACATTGCAGCACACTTCCTCCAAAGGACACAGAAAATGGAGGTCTGTCTGTCCCTAGCAGCCTCCTGTTTTATGTATCCTTGGCTTGAAGACAAGAGGGTAGAAAATTGGTGAGCACGTGCAAGTTGTTTAGATGATGTGCTTGTTTCAACTGACTATCTGGATGTGTGTGGAATCTGGAAAATGAGTCTGAATTTGGCAGCGATATTAAATATGTGAGGGTGAATTGTGGTATACGGATTTTAGGCATGAGCCCTGTTGGTCAAATATTATTGATGGGGCCATGTCAGATGTGTAGTATTGTGTGAGACTGATAGTAATGTGAGTGATTTCACACACCATGGTCACCCTTGAGAGATCATTAAACGTTAATGTTTTAACAAAGATCTGTAGCTCAGGTTGCAGTTGGAGTTGTTGGTTGGTTCGCCAAGCTGACTGGTTTTTGTGCAAACGTGTTCTCTCCCTTCTCGGTGACATCGTCAGTGCTGCATAGCCTCCATTGAAGCGCTATTGTTCTGTAACTTTGTCCCAGTCAAATTGATGTCATCCGATGTCGAGTGTATTGAAACGAGGGAGAATTGGTCGTGCCGTTTTGCTGCAAGTTGGTGTTCATGTATCCTGGTGACAAGTTTCCTTGTATAAATTCAGAGCAGGACAGAACAGCGCTTCAACGGAGGCTACACAGCATTGACGATGACACCTAGAAGGGAGACAAAACATTTGCACAAAAACCAGATAGCTCTGCGAACCAACCAACAGATCATCAAACTTTCTGCCACTGAATTGACTTCCATGCCTAACTGTTCCCATTCCATTTGATGTATGCCTGAAAGACCTCCTGATCTCCTCCAGAAAAACAATCACTCCTGTATTTTTCCACTTCCTGGATGGAAAAGAAAGAAAGACTTGCATTTATTTAACACTTTTCACAACGACAAGACACTTCAAAGTGCTTTACGACCAATTAAGTATTTTTGAAATGCTCTTGTATTGTAGAAAACAAGCAATCAAGTTGCACACCGCACATTCCCACACAGAACAATATGATAATGACCAGATAGTATGTTTCTGTGATGTTAATTGGGGGATAAATATTGACAGGACCATGAGATTTATTCTTCTTCAAAATCATGCCAATGGACCTTTTTTACTTGAGAGATGGACAGTGCCTTATTTTAACATCTCAATTGAAACGTGGTACCTTCAACAGTACAACCTTCTCTTAGTTGAGTATGTAACATGTTCAGCATTGAGATACTGTGAATCAATAAAAGGAGTATCCACACAAAGTTGGCATGCTACCTGCACCTTACCAACCAGAATAGGTAATCAAGCATCATGATTTCTCCACACAGTAATTGAATCTTGCCCTCTAAATGTCTTACTTGATTGTTTGAGTATAAAGCTCCTCTAAAACATCTACTATTTCCCTGTCTTTCTGGACTGGATTTTACACAGCACTGCAGTCATGTCTTCCCAGCTAAAATGTTGGGTGTGAGAGCCTGCCAGCAAACCAGATAGCTGTCCTACAGCAATTAAAAACTGGGAGCAGCATTAATTGTTTTAAAATGAGCCTTCAACCCCACTTCGTCCCACCTCCTAAATCGTGTCATGGAGAGCTGCCTATCCAGGACATTGAATTGTCTAGGAGCCCTGTATGTCTAGCAGCTGCAGTTGGGAGCAATGGCCACTGCTGGGGCTGCAGCCAGTCCCACCACACTGAAATGTCAAGGTAAATCCAGGATCAGAGGTCTCTGTGGCGGTGGAATGCCAGGTTCAGATGTTTAGGGGAGTTAAAATAATGAACGTTCTTGGGCAGATACCTCCAGGAAGATGAATGAATACAAATACCAGTAGTGTGATTAAATGCAGGCTTCCATTTTCCCATTTTGTTGATTTCTCAAGGGACTGCAATGATTGCCACTCCCCTTGCCAACACCTTTCTGAGCAGCTTAGTCTGCTAGGCGTTCCACCCCTGTTGTGAGTAACATAACAGCAAAGGACATAATTGTCTCAATAAGCCAGAGGGTGGGCAAGCTGCTCAATGCAGCGCCAGATTCTGTTAATATTTCACATGTCTAGGGCAGATGGGTAGGCATCCTATTGGATATTACACCCCCCTCAATCATCCTCTTGTTTGTGTCTCAGTCTCACAAATAATTTTAGTTTCCTGAATTGATTTCATTTTGCTAATGGATTACTATTAATAAAGGTGGTTTTACTTCTGATAGGTCTTGTTATAGGAAGAACATTGTGCATAACTGTAGAATGATGGTTGCAAATTCTAATTTTTCCACTTTACTGATCTCCCAATTTCTTGTGTGGGAATGTTTGATTGGTAATGTCTCTTGATGAGGGAAATTCATGTTATTATTCACATGTTGTACCCACTCTGGCAACAGCCAAGGGCAACTTAAAATCCAAATTTTTGACTTGGTTACAGAAGATGTTGAGGTGGAGAATTCTAATTTTTGTTTTTTGCCCTCCTAGCTGGATAAATAGATTTCAAGAAGGAACTGTGTTGTGGTGTGATTTTTATTTGAAATAAACAACAGGAATGAGGGCAATATATTGTTTTGTACATTGATCCTCAGTATGCTTTTCCTGTTTGTTTCCAATCAAATAGCAAACATTTTGTCATAGATAGGAAGATCAACGTTACCTTGAATACCTTTCGTGAATATCCTATTGTAAACATATAGCAGGAGAGCTCTGGGAGCAGGGTGGCTAGCAAAAACCACAGGAGTTGATAGGACGTATCTAAGGAAGTTAGTGGAAAGGGAAGCATATTCATTTTAAAAGAATGTTACAATATAAATGGAAATTGATTTTGATTATATACTTCATCCTAGATGCAAAATATCCTGACAAGTTCTGTATTAATGATGCCTGTATCAGAGAAGACTGATGATCTTCTTAACAAAGCATTTGCAGCGCAAATGAGCAAGCAAATGGGCAGTTCTTTGCAGGTATGTATAAAATATTATGAATCAGTGGTTAAGCTACATAACTGAGCTTTGCAAACTTATGGCATTTTTTTTAGAGTTCTTGTCTAATGGTTAATATTGAGCATATTGAGTGTGAAGTTCAACTTGGGCAGAGGGAACAAATTGAATTCAATAGATAGTCTACCCATAATACACCTTACCAGGCTTTCCTTACCTTGAATTTAGTGGACGAGTGCACAACAGACATGCTGCATTTTGTTACATGCAGAAGTTGAATGTCACTTTAGGGTGTGAGTTCTCAGGAAAGGTGGATAAGCTGGGAATTGCTTCACTGGAGTGTAGGAGGTTAAGGGGTGACCTTTTAGAGATTTATAAAATTATGAGGGGTATAGATCAGGTGAATCACAAAGATCTTTTCCCAAGGGTTGAGGAGTTCAAAACTAGAAGGCATAATTTTAAGGTGAGAGGAGAAAGATTTAAAAGAGACCTGAGGGCAACTTTTTGACACACAGGGTGGTTCGTATGTAGAATAAACTTCCAGAGGAAGTGGTAGTTGCAGGTACAGTTACAACGTTTGAGAGACACTTGGACAGTTACGAATGGGAAAGGTTTAGAGGGATATAGGCCAAATGCAGGCAAATGGTGGTAGTTTAGTTTGGGAAACTTGGTCAGCATAGATGAGTTGAACTGAAGCGTCTGTTTCCATGCTGTATGACTCTATGACTGTATAACTTTTAATTCTGTTGTTGAATTTTATTCGCTCCCTTCTCACATTTGATGTGAAAGGAAGTAAACAATTATGTCTGCATAATGTTTCACTAACAGTGCAAAGTAAAGATTTATCCTTCCTAAGTTTGCAAAGTTTACATGCACTAAAGCATTTTCATGAATCAACATTGGATATTTTGGATTTAATATCAATTTAGAATCTAAAGTGTTTATTCTTACATACCAGTAGTCATTCATTTTTTGCTCAGTGTGGTGGTTCCAGTTTATTATTACAGTGGTCAAATGTTTTAATTTTTGCAGTGTAAAAACGTAATATTTTACAAATCACTGAAGTTAACCAGGAAGGATGTTAGCCCCTCTTTGAATGTGTTGCATTGAGGCAATATTTTCTTTTTAACTTGTTTAATTTCATGTTTTTGGAAAATAATGTAAATACATTTTAGAATTAAAAATGCAAGAATTAAATGTACATTTTGGCTTTTTTTTTGAGTTGCTGGTATACATGTTAAAGTAAGTAATTTAACTATGGAGGAACAAATCCTTGTAGTTAAGGAATTACGTACATTAAGTTTCTTTATGCTGAAATAACAAATCTGAATGCTTAAAATATTCCATCATTTCCAATTGTTAGAATGCTGAAATGTGAGACTGTAGTTCATTGGAGCCTGAAATGAGACCAAATTTGAAGAAAATCTTGTGTTTCCTGGACTGGATTCAAATCCATAATCTTGTGATTTTACATAAACGCCTCCAGCCCATTATACTATTAATTCAATCAAAACCTAGTCTTATATAGTCATAAGGGGTAATTTTATGTAAATATGCTTCTTCTGGGTAGTTTTGCACACCTCATCATCTTAAGCCATAATTTTAATGGATGGAAAATCATGGGGAATATCTGTGGTAGTAATTTACTTTCAAATAGTGAGTATATCTCTGAATTCCCTTCGGTCATTGCTTGGCGTATTTAGAAAATAGGCTCAACTCTTTTTTAGTTTAATTTACTCTTAGTGTTTTAAAACATAAATTTGCAGTAAATTATTGCAAAACCAATAAAAATTTGCGTATGCGAAACAAAATATTAATTAAATCATGGAACCTCACCTGAAATAGTTAGAAATGACCTTTAACTCCACACACCTTTGGCCTTTAAGATTATTTATTCACTTTTTAATTAGAATTTTTACTTGTATTTTCTTGGGATGTCATACACTACTAATTGCTTTAATAAAGTGTCTATATTAAAGATGAAATTTTGAAAAATCTAGATTTCTGTTGGTGTGAAATTGTCTACACCAGTAATGCACATTGGGCTGGTAGCAAATCAGCATCAACTTTAATGGAAAATAAACTTGTGCGTGGCATAAAATGGCTACTAATTTGCCGTCAGTCCATTTTTTTCACCATGTGCATTAACTAAACTTTCGCCTACCGTGTAAACAGGAAAGCATTGACAGAGTACTCAATTAAAGTATATTTGAATTTTAAGTGCACACACCTCAATCTTATCCAGTTCACGCATGAATATTACATTGGTCCCCTTTTAAGGGCAAGAGGATGATACTGAATTTAAAGTTATAAAATATTTACAGAGAAATGAAAACAAATTATTTCATCATTCAAAGCAATTAGTCATATCAAGTTCCAAATGTTGATGTTTTCTGGGTTGGGAAGGCTGATGGTGGGGTAATTATTGTGTACATTCTGTACTTGAATGTGAAAAACTGGCAGCTGGACTCGTGTAATATATTTTCAGGTATCCCAGCTGGATTTGAGAAGTCCCTGGACCTGGAACCCTGGTTAGCTGAAACTCTGTTCCAGCACTCCATAAAGCCAGTAAGAGATTCATAATAGGAATGATTAGATATTTAATTGTTCTTATTTAAATGTGTTTATAGTTTTCCTTCCTTTTTGTTAAATATAAATTGTTTTAGTGGAAGAAATGAAGTAACTACTTTGAGGTGGCATTACTTGCCACAATATACCTTCTTACAGAATTAGTAAGGCTAGACACTTAAATGAAAAAGAAGACAATTACAGTGGGATAAATCCTGTATATGCTGTTAGGCTATAGGTTTTAAACAGGATTGAATTATATACTTTCAAGCAGAGGTGTAACTTCCTGTCTCTTTTCTTGCAGTTTTCCAATACCTGGGAGGCTGTGGCATGTGGGAAAACAGAAGACCAACTTATTGTAACTGAGCAAGCACGCAAATACATGAACACCTTTTCTACTAGAACATTAGTTATGTAATTTTTTTCCAACTAAGCATTAAGAAGTATTGAAACACATTGTTGAGTCACAATCCTCATTTCTTCTTGTGAGCTTCCCCTCAATGGATGTAGAGCAATGTTTTATGACAATAATTCAATGGCACAAATTTCATTCTTCACTAAGCACATTTCTGTTGTTTGTCAGACTAGAAGGGTTGTATTTCACCAGCCAAAAAGATAAGTATCACAGTTATCTACAGTAAAAGATGCTTGAAGTTACAAAAATGATTCCTTCTATTTAAAAAAAAGAATAAATATTTTCAGTTGTAGGCAGCAGACTGTAACATATCAGTATTCTTTTTGTATTGGGTGGCGGAAAAGCAATTAGTTCTTGGAAGTACTTTGACTGATGTAATTTAAATATGTAAGTTAATAAATTAAATGAAATGCACTGTTGACAAAATAGAGGTATAGCATTACTACAAACCAAATTAGATGAAAAAAATCAAGCTTTTGAAGATGTAAAATTGATAGGTTTGAAGTATTGTTTTTGTTTGATTTTTTTGGGCCTTGTTTTGTGCCATATATATTATATATAATATACGTACATGTATAATATATATGTGCATGTGTGTTTTTGTGTGTAGCTTGAATAATACTGATACTGTATGTAAAAACAAAGTTTTATGTATGAAACATGTATATTTTATCCAGTAAGTTAATTTTGTAAATGCCAAATGGATAATGTGTTGTGCTGCTAAAGACTTTAGCATGTAGACATGCTGCATGAAATGGGCAGTAGAGTTATCAGAGAAAATGGTGTTAGTTGATCAACAATGCACTGGTAGCTAGTATTTTTTTAAACCTAGCATTTACAAATACAAACTTTTGGGAAGTGAAATGTTTTGTCTTATTGTGACAAAATGAATATGATGCACCTTTTGTATTTTGGGAGAACACTGATACATTCACTAATTTTTTTATTTCTTTTGTCCCAATCATTTCATATTTAACTCAAGACACTCTGGCCCAAATGTTTTTCAATGCATTGAACAACTTCTGCAAGAAGTCTTGGCTTTGTTCTATTGTCATGTCCAACTCTTCTGGTATACATACACCGAACATTTGGTTTTAAAACTAAAATAGGTGATTTTCAAAATGTACTACCTTTAATATCAGCTTGGTGCAAATTACCTGCACCAGTATTTCGACTACCATTGTATAGCCACTGCCATGTACAGAAAATAAAAGTGTGTTTTTCTACTTAAAAAGTTTGTTTAATTTTATTTTAATAATTATTTTAAGTTTGTAAAAGCTTCTAAGTTGTATGTGCCCTAAGTTGAGCTAAGACCTTTATTACACTGCAATCTGCCCTTTCTGGATTTCTTTTGTATCAGTAGGAACAGGGTAGTAACAGCATTAATTTGATTTTCCAGTACTTTAGCAGGTTTCAGTCAGGTTTTTCATATTTTCCAGTGATAGACTATTCCGAAGCCAAATTCATGCTACAGTTTTGTCCAGAATAACCTGATTTAACCTCTGCTGAATGTTACCTGTTATAAAGATGGTTTAAATGTATTAATCCTGCTGCACATTTCTTCAAGAAGGAACATGGCCATAGAAGCATCCTGTTGTACACTGTTCTTCATAAAGATTGCAACTGAAACCACACTGCAAACATAGTACCAAAACTTTCTTAACCAGTTCGTGGCCTGCACGATATATCTGAAGCCTTGTAAACTGCCTGCTAGGTCTATCACTCGCCTCTGGCAGGCTTAAAAACTGATAAATCTCCAGGGCTGGATGAAATATATTTCAGGTTGTTGAGTGAGGCAAGGGAGGAAATAGTAGGGGCTCTTGCCAAAACTTTTAGTTTCTCTCTGGCAAAAGGAGAGGTGCCAGAGGACGGGAGGACAATTATTCAAGAAGGGAGCAAGGGGTAAACCAGGAAACTACAGACCAGTCAGTCTAACCTCAGTGGTGGGAAACCTATTGGAAGCAATTCTGAGGGGCAGAATCTGTATTTGGCTAGATAGGGCTGATCAAGTACATTCAGCATGGTTTTGTTAAGAGGAGGTCATGTCTGACCAACTTGATTAAATTTTCCAAAGAGATGGTTGGGTGTGGATAAGGGCAATGCTTTTGATGTAGTCTGTGTGGATTTCAGCAAGGCTTTTGATAAGGCAGACTGATAACAAAGGTAAGAGTCCGTGGAATTTGAGGAAATTTGGCAAATTGGATCCACAATTGGCTGAGTAGCAGGATGCAGAGGGTGATAGTTGAGGGGTTTTTTCTGACCGGACATTTGTCCAGTAGGGTCCCATAGAGGTTAGTGTTGGGGCCCTTGGTGTTTGTGGTTGATTGAAATATTTAGATTTGAATGTCGGAGGATTGATCAATAAGTCCATATATGATATGAAAACTGGTGAGATAGTAAATAGGATAGCATCGGATTACAATAGGATATAGATGGGCTGATCAGTGGCAAATGGAATTCAATTGGATAAATGTGAGGTATTGGGCAGAACAAACAAACAGGGGATTACACAATAAACATAAGAACCTGGGAAGCATTGAGAATCAGAGGGACGTTAGTGTGCATGTACACCAGTCCCTGAAGGTATCACAACTGTTGAATAAAGTGGTTAAGAAGGCATGTGGTATACTTATCTGTAATATTCGAAGCATAGAATTTAAGAACAGGGAGATTATGCTGGAACTGAATAAAATGGTGGTTAGGCCATATTTGGAATATTGTGTGCTGTTCTGGAATCTATATTATAGGAGGGTGTGATTCATTCATTTATTGGCAGTTTCTTGTGGACAAAGATGAATCTTCCACTTCGTGAGTCTGTAGGTGGCTGTATGGACTGATATGGCTACTTCAGCTTCTGTTACACTCAGGGCAAAAGGTGGTCGTGGGAGTGGGTGGGTAGGGCATTGATGTGTCTGTTTTCGCCTGGCTTCTGCTTTTTCCCAGCAGCAAGTCTTGTGGTGCTCAATGCCTTCCCGGATGTTCCTACTGTACTTTGGATGGCCTTGGGCCAGTGATTCCCAAGTGTCTGTGGGAATGCTGCACTTCAACAGTGGAGCCTTGGGGGTATCACTGAAGCACTTCCTCAGTCCACCTGGGGTTCACCTGCCATTTCGCAGCTGGGAGTAGAGCACCTGCTTGGGGAGTCTTGTGTCAGTCATACAGATGACGAATGGATGTGATAGCACTGGAACAGGTGCAGATTTACCAGGACATTGCCTGGACTGGAGCATTTCAGTTATGAAGAGAAATGGGTCTTCCTTAGAGAAGAGGAAATTGAGGGGATGTGATTGAGATTTGTAAAATTACGAAGGGCATAGATAGGATTGACAGGAAGAAATTTCCTCTTGATAGAAGGATCAATGACCGGGGACATATACTTAAGGGGCAAAAGGTTTAGAGGAGATGTGAGGAAAAACTTTTTCACTCAGAGAGTGATGGGAGCTCACTGCCTGTAAAGGGTAGTAGAGGCAGAAACGCTCATAATATTTAAGAAGCATTTAGATGTGAACTTGCAATGCTAGGCATACAAGGCTATGAGCCAAATGCTGGAAAGTGGGATTAAATAATAAAATGGTTGTTTGTTCGCTGGTGGAGATGCAATGGGTTGAAGAGCCATTTCCTGTGTTGTAAATCATTATGACTTTATCCTAATTCTGAAAGAGACACGAAAGACTGGATGCCATTGGGCCTTGATAACAGCTTGGGATGTGATCTCAGAGATGGGGGAGCTTGTGGCCTTACTTGCTGTTTCTGTGATCTCAGGGGGTTTGTGATCTACAGTTTTAGAAGGGCTAACTACAACAAATTGAGATTAAGGGCAGAATCTTCCTCCGTCTAGTGCGAATGATGAATTAATAAGGCAAGAGTCTTGACATTGAAAAAAAAATTGATTAAATCCTCATGCCTTAGAGGCTGAGTTCAGAATCTTGCCATGCATTTGCATCTTATTAATGATTCAACTTGCCATATTATTGCCACATTTTTAATCTTCAACTTCATAATCAAGAAACTCACTCAATGGCACAAAAGTTTGACAGGAAAACTGAGTGACTATCTGGTGACTTGTCAGTATACATTGCAGCTTGTGGAATAGTTGTGCCAATCATCTACCTTTTCTTTACGTGGCACTGCTAATTCTTCACAAGATATTTTCATAATCAATGCACATATACTTCCTGGATCCTTCATTTCCCCAGCCCAGCATTAATAAAGCACCAGCCTCACAATATCATTGTGCTTGATCTCAGCCCAGTTATGCCACAACATCAGGGCTTCTCACATGCACTTTGGAGGTGAGGGACAACCAGGACTGGTATGTTTGTGGTAGGTTGATTTGAGTTTAGGAAAAGCCAGATATCTTGTGTATCTACACAGAATCTCTGGAGTTAATAAGGTGTCAGACACTAACTATATCTTAGCTTGCTTTTTAGCTCATAAGCTCTTTAGTACTTAGCAATAGGTAGGCAACCTTTATAGTTTAGGCTGTTTGTTTATGCAGGAAAGGCAGACAGCTTGTGGCGATGAGGATCACTGAAGAGTAAATGTATCAGTCAGAGAGGGAGAGAACATGTCACTACGTTGGTGCCACACCGTGTCAGCACTGTGGTATGTATTGTCTGCTTTTACAGCAAAAATACTGTAGGTGAATGAGAAAAAGGGCAATGTGTGAAAGTCAAAGGGAACAAGTGCTTTGTGAAGTGAGAGTGGACTCCATTCATTCGGGGATATTGTCACAGTCAGTCAAGGGGCTGGTCTAGTTGCAATCTGGGGAAAACTATGATCAGTCAGGTGCCTGGGCCTACATGAGTCTATGAATCCATGTTCTTGCAGTCTGGGGATTCAGCCACAGTCTGTCCTCGAGCTCAAATGCAAGCATGTGAGTCAATCAGAGTGAGAGATCAATCTGTTGTAGGTGGGCTGTGGTGAATGGGTCTGTTTTGTGGAGTCAGTCCAGCATGGGATGGTCACATAGCCAGCCATGGAGTTTGGATTGCTAACCATTTGGGGGTAGTGGGAAGGTAGTGCTACTTAACAAACAGTAACTCCCAGAATTGTTGAATGAGGACCTTGGCTGCACATGCAAGGATGCTGAGGCTACCTTGTCCTGCCTACTGAGAAAGTACATTTTGCATTCCATTGCAGCATTCACAATAAGGTGCATAACACCTCCAACCATTGGCTGCTATGCCTTCTCCCCCTTGTGAGTGTCTGGCTGCCTCGATCAAGAGCCAGTCCAGCACCCTCAGAGTTTACTGGAGAGACACATACACCAGCAGCCCTTCACCTCAGCCATTGGCGTTCAGAACTCAACACAATGTGATAGGTGTACAGGGAAGCTGGCACTGTGTCCAGGTGCCCCCTTCCTCATGAAAAGATAGGGCAATGTCAGGAGGCACACATAGGCCGCTCAGAAGTCTGACACTCCAGTGGTGCCCCTCCACACTCTCTGCCTCCCTTGAACCTTTGGCTGTTCAAGCTGAGGAGGGTCCACTTGTCTGGCAAGAAGACTCACAGCATCTCTGAGCCATCCAGACAAAAGTGCCCCCAGGGTTTCATGACCAAACTTACATGGCTAATGGGTTCCATTTCTGAGCAGGCTCACTCCACCCCAGCTATGATCCTTGGACAACACCAGGACATACTGGAAGGAAAGAAAGAGAAAGTCCTTTTGAGGGCACTTTGGTGGCACATGTGATAAGTATCACGTTTGTATAAATTTATTCTTTTTGTATACATTTGTGTGATGTGCATGTCACTGGACATGTCACCGAATATCGTTGAGAAGGCAGTAGTGAGCTGTCTTTTTGAATTGGTGCTGTCCATTTGGTGTAGGTACACCCATAATGTCATTAGGATACTGAAGGATAAGAGATATATTTCCCAAGGCAGGATGGTGAGTGGCTTAGAGGGGAACTTGCAGGTGGTATTGTGTTTCCCATGTATCTGCTACTCTTTCCTTCTATTTGGTAGGGAGCTTGTGGGTTTGGAAGGTGCTGTCTAAGGACCCTTGGTGAAATTCTGTAGTGCATCTTGTAGATAGGACTCACTGCTGTAACTGGGTATTGGTAATGGTAAATGTTTTGTGGATATGGTACCAATCAAGTGGTCTGCTTTGTCCTGGATGGCACCAAGCTTCTTGAGTGTTGAAGCTGCATCCATTCAGGCATGGGGAGTATTCCATCACGTTCCTG